TCTGTATTTTCTTATTATTCATCATTTTCTTTTCATCTCCATCATCGTCTTTAATTTGTACTTCTTGTTCCCATTCTGTTATGTGTTCATGTTCTTCTTGTTCTTTTAGGTTATACTATTTTCTTTCTTCTTTTCTTCATCACCTTCATCTTCTTCGTTCTCTGCAACTTTCTAATCTTTTTGTTTTTCGTTATCTTTTTCCTCATTTTCAAATTATTCTATTTTGTTTTATTCCTACATTTCTCCAAATTCTTCATCTTCTCCTCTTTAAAATTCTTCATCCAATAATTCTCTGATTTTTTGTTTATCTAATAATTCTTTATCTCATTCATCAACTTCATCTTTGTCTACTTTGTCTTCTTCATCTTATGTTCTTCTTTATTCAACTTTTCCACATATTTTTCTTCTTCCATTTTGTCTACTATGTATTGGTTTCTCTGACCTCTCCGACTTCTCCGACTTCTTTTTCTAATTATTTTGTTTTCTTCTTCAAATTTGTCATTTGATTCTTCTTTGTTCTAGCAATTGCGTTCCCTAGATCACTACCATGTAGTTAGGTATGGGCATCCTTAATGACGGTACTACTTATGCGACAAATAATTTTTCTACCTTAGACCGTCTTAATTGGTCTTATCCGCCTATATTTCTTTTCTTTATTTTTTTTATTTTCTTAATTGATTTCTTCTTTTTTTTTTTTCCTCTTCTTCATCTTTTAGTTTTTTATATATTTTTTGTTTTTTCCTTCTTATCCTCTATCGTTTTCAAATCCTACTTATTCTTTATCGTTTTTGTCTTTTTTGACTTTATTTTTTTTACTTCATTTTCTTTGTTTTCTTCTATCATCTTTGTATTATCTTCTTCTTATTCTTCCACATCTACCTATTACATTTGTATTTTCTTTCTTCTAACTATTTTTTAGAAGTTTGGAAAATTTTTGAACGTATATTTTCATAGTTGTATGGCTTTTACTATATTTACACAAACAGTCAGTTTCACAGAATTTGGTGAAGTAAAAGCAAATAGATAACATGGATACATATTTATCTAACCGTTCTAACATGTACCCTCTTCTTGAAACAACCTCTTCGTCTTCGTATCCTCTGTCTTCATCTTTTTAGTTTTTCTTAGTGACTTTAAGATAATCTCATAGCCCGAGTTTGGATTCAACATAATAATATCTACAGCTCCTTCTCGTCGGTATATATGATGAAAATTATAGCATTGAAACCATTTTAAATGCAATCATATAACTTAAATAAAATCAAAAATGGATTTCGACATTCAAACAAATTACAATGAAAGAAAATATACCACTCCAAAAGAACATCAGAGGAAAATAATTTATTTTACTTTTCCACTACTCCAGAAACAGCTCAGCATATTTAAAGAAGGTAGAAACTCACGAAACAAACTGATGAAGTTCAGGTTGAAAAGCAAATAGTAATGATATCTGAGCCTTTTCTTCATTTCTAACATGTGGAAATTTTACACAATAGTTAAAGGCATTGCTCACGTTGCCCAAATTAGAAATACACAAGAATAAAAATTCTATCGAAAGTTTAGGACCAATGCTTTAACAGGCTACAATTTTTTTCACAGATATCAACTATCCTCCTTCCTACATCACTCGTAGCTCTAGCCACAAGTATGATTCCAAAAAAAAATTGTTCGTTAACCGGTTCCTTTGTTGATCAGCTAGTAGGTTTCTAGAACACTGACACAGCAAACTTCACAATCTAAAAAACAAACTAATCAATTAATTCCGCATGACTAACTTTTTAGATACTGCAATAAAAGAAAAAAAAAACGGGCAAAGGAAGAGAAGAAATTTTAGAAGAAATCTTATAAGACCAAAAAAATATGAAAATCTCAGAAACCACTGACATTTGTAATTCTCCTCACCGTAGTTTATACAAATGGATGATAGATTCTTCTTCATGTTATAAAATCACAAAACACTAAATTACTTTTTAGGCCATTTATATATATATCTAAGAATAATTATAATAACCAAAAAACCTAAAAGACAATAAACAAATAATAGAATATCACAAATAATCGATGATATTATTCTATAAGAATCTTTATTGCTACCATCATGTTATATCTTCTTCTCGACCTAAGTCGTTTAGGTAAATTCTGTCACCGATTCTTTATTCTTCCTCCGTTACCATTATATTATTCTTTAAAGAATAAAAATACGCAATCACAAATTAAATTCATATATAATAAAATTTTCGATCCAACGGTGAGTACATGCCTCATATTCTCGTAAAATAAAGGGAGAAACTTAAAAAGTTACGAAACTGAAGAAATTAAAAATAAAAAGAAAAAACATATAGAACAGAATAAAACATATCATAGAAGAAGCTTTGATGATTGTGTCAAAGTCATGCCTCAAGAATGATATTATTTTTGTTTCTCATGTTTTGTCTTCTCCAATTACTAACTATGACCACACAAAACTTGAATTAAACCCAGACGAAAAGAAAGAAAATGAATCGAACAAACCTCCCCAAAATACAACTAAAAAACACAATCACAAAATACAAGAAAAACATAGAAATAAATAACTTTACCTCTGAACACCATTGTAGAATTCAACCACCAGCGAGGTAGGCAATCCTACTGCAAAACGCCAGAACCTATGCAGCAAAAAAAACAATGAAGGGAAGTAAGACGACAAACAAACAACAAAAAAAAACTATTACAATCTAAAAACAGATCAGAAACATCAAAGAAGTAAACCATTAGATAAAGACTGACGCTCAAAAACAATAAAAACAATCGCATAGAGACTAAATCAGAATGCTGCAAAACAAAACATGCAAACCCTTAAACGTGATTCACAAAAAAATTATACCGCGACAAAGCAGTAACGATGTGATAGCTAGCAAATATCATAGAGATAGACCCACTTACACAGCCCAAAAATCAAAATTATTTTCTCAATTAACTATGGAGAACAACGAACAGCACACAAAACCAAATTAAGAGGCACGCATGAAAAAAAATTTACCAAAGACGGAAAGCATTAAAAAAATATCCAACAACGTAGAAACAAAGCCAATGTCGTTATTGGGATGCCCTAACGTCTGCGGGGAAAAGATATATTTATAGTCACAAAACCAATCTACGATTTCTCCCATATTACACAAAACTTAATTTTAACCATTTTAACCGATTTTAATGTATTTTTTATAAAACTTAATTTGAACCAATTTAACCAAATTTAACCAAGGGGTAAAAAGTAATTATCCACTCCAAAATTGAATAAAAAGGCTTAAAGCTAAAATTTTACTTTGCTTATAATATATATGATGATCTTTGTGTTTCGTTTTTCATGATATATATCGTTTTTCACCTTTTCACTTATTTGTAAATATCAATTTTGTTGTGAAAACATTTAAAATCTGAAAAAATAAAAAAAAATAAACTAATTATACGCAGCTCTTATACACTTTTTGATATGTTATATCAACACAAAACGGTATAACAATTATTTAGACCAAAATTCGATTTTTTAATACAACTGCGTTTGTTTATCTGACAATAATAAACAAACTGGGACTTAGCAAGGATCTCAAAATTAAAAGTAAAATGATTTTTAGCTCTCAGTCTCGAAGTCTCTTTTTCTGTGAATCGCAAATGACTCTCATTTTTAATACATTCTTATAATATCACCCTGCAAAATAATAACAAAACGTAATTTTCGAGACTAGTAACCCAGTTCTCCTAATGTAAAAGCATTAAAAAACTCATTAACCAGTAGGTTAAGGAGACTTCCACTCCTATAATCAGTTTAACCGAGACATTTATTTTCCTTTTTGACTTAGGATTTTTTAGAGATTTTTTTTTCTATAAGTCAAAAATGGAAACTTTCTTTTTTTCTCTTGTTGGGTTCATGTTGGTCCACAGGTTGAACCGGTTTAATCTCTTTAGTACTCTACTGTCGTCAATCAGATTTAATCAGGCTGATATCGGTTCATACCAGAAAAAACCAGAAATATGGTTTTCACCTCCAACAACATTACTATGATAAAATTGATATTTTTTATAGTTCGCTGACCGATCATAAAACTCAGTATTTAAACGGTGCGAATTACAATTGATGATTACGATATTATATTTTTGTGGATTAATATGAATAATATTTTAGTCCACTGTAAAAGGGTTAAATGAATTCCGCTTTAACCGTATTGTTTATTATCATTGGTTAAAGATATTATAAAATTTATTAACCTAATAAATATAATTTTATGTGGTAAATTTAATTATATGATGTTAGTATATGCATATGTATATATATAAATAAATTTATTAACCAAGATATTGAAAATAATTTCTAAGATAATATTTAAGATATTGTAATCTCGTATATCATATAGGTTAATCTCTAGTTAATTATTATATACGCATCTCTAATTAAATCTTATGTATATATATATATATGTACATATGTTAATATGATATCACATTTGGTACATATAGAAAATTATTATAATATACTCACGCATATATAAAAGTTGCGAGGTAGAGATGCTCAAAATCAAGATAGTGTCGCCATAATGCTACAATGGAGCTGAAACCCTAAAATTTACTAATGAACTAATGAAGCCAAATGGTTTTCATTATTGGATTAAAAAGTCGCCAAGATTCGTACTACTCTATCCAGTATCCATGATAACAAGTCAACAACAATATCATTTTTAAGCAATAGCTATTTCAAACTAATTAAAGAAAAAAATTGAATTATAAATAATGAGTTACAGAGATGACCTTGCTTTTGGTTGATTCTTTAAGACAAGTGCACGATTAAAAATGGATAGACTTAAAAAATATTCATATATATATATATATATATTGTAATGAAAAAGATTACTATGCAAAATAGTGGTGACATTATGAATTTGGGTAAACTAGAGGAGGGATTAAACAAGTATAACAAATTAAGCTGCAAATGTTTTGACTATAAATAATCACAACGCCTATGGATTTGTATCATCAAAGTTAAGTTTGTTGAAAATAAAAAAGAAGAGAAAACAAGATTTAGTTAAAAGCAAAACAAAAAGAAAGAAATGGCAAAGAACCTCAACTCCGTCAGCTTCACCGTTCTCTTGCTTGTCCTCGTGATGGCTTCAACCGGTATTATAGTTTAACCAAGTTCTCTATTATACTTTTCAGTTAGTCTTTTAATTATATCTTGTGCTGATGATTTTGATGAATATGTCAACATTTAGCATTCCTCAAGAGCGAGGCTATTGACTGTCCTGGTGGATGCTCAACGCCCATTACACGTGTGTTCCTCGGGGAGTGCGAGCCTGCGCATGGAACTACACATAATGATTGCTGCATCTGTTGTGTAACCAAATACGGGAGTCCTCCAGTCTGTTGGGCGGCTATTGAGGGAACGGACGAGCATTGCCATTGCTACACAAAGGCTATATAACCTTATCTGATTACCAAGTGTAACTTTTATCCATTCGGTGTGAGAAGACATGACATGTGTGTATGTTTATGTTCAAGTTTCGTTTGCTTCTAAATAAAAACATCAAGGGCAAAGCTTATCATTGCTTCTCCCTCTAGGTGTAATATCATGTTCTGTGTACTTTTGTTTCGATCTGAATATATAATATAATAAACTCGTTTTGTGTTTGTGTTTCTCGTTCCAATACGCATAAACCAGCAACAGCACACATTAACTCGAATATTATCATGAGGCTAAACAGAGAACGATATAAGACACAACAACTTTTCAGCGACGCTTCAGTGTACGATTTATAGAAAAAAAAAAAGAATGCTCATATTCACCATCGACCTACTCTTTCATGCAAAATCGACAAGTTGTTTTAGATGCCATATATATTACTGCTTATTCAGGACATAATGATGTGCAAAAGAATAGATGAAAGGAAACGACTTTTGGTTGTCATCAAAATAACTACTTGGACAAAGAAACTTGGACGAGACGGCGACACAGATATAAAAACGAATCAATGCATATTTCACAGTGAAAGTGTGTTCTTACATTAATTGTTATCTTAAACCGAAACTAACCGTTGATAACGTTCAAAAAGTGAAAGTATTAGGGACTATTATCCCACATCGGAAGTTAGAAGAGATTTTTAGTAGTATATAAGAGATATGGGATAATTTATTCATTGCCAATTAGTTTTGAGTTAGAAGCCTATAAACTCATATTTAACATGGTATCAGAGCCATCCATCCGATCTTTGGGCCCTTTTGGTTGGAGGTTTCCTGATGTTTGTTCCCACAAGTTGTGAAAGTCCCAGTTTTATATATAAAGAAAAAGAAGAGATTTGGACCAATCCACTCATTGTTAATTGATTTTGAGTTGGAAGCTCAAAAACTTAACAGAAAGCAATAAATATCCAAACTTACCTTACAAGTCACGGTTAACTATAATTTTTCATACACACTTATAATTAACTTATCTATATGATAAGATATGACCAAATTCAATAATAAACTAATTAAAGATTTGATCAGGATACGAATCAGACACAATCATATAGATAATGCAATCTGACACAATCAGCTATCGCTTCCGACACTGTCTATCTACTAGTGTATCAACCGAGAGATTCGCAACAGTAGTATAACCTCCAAAAAACCTAGAAGACACTTTGGAAACATAATTTCCGTATGGCTTAGATGCGATAATCTACCAACTGTATTTTTCTTTATACATTTTAATTATTTTTGCCAAGGTAACAAAGTAGATTGAGGTTATTGTAAAATCTAAATTCTACTTATATTTACTCATAGGAAAAAGAAAAAAAGAAAGAAGAATCAGTGCAATCAGACTGCTCCTTAGTTGATTTTGTATTCGGATAGCATGATTGGAACATTTACATTCTCCTCTTTGTATTATTTATAATTTTTGTGTTTCGTTTTTCATATCGTTTTTCCTTTTTTTAATTATTTTAATATTAATTTTATTGTGAAACATATTTAGAATCTGAAACAAAAGAAAAAAAATAGACTAATTATACGCATCTCTAATAAAATCTTATATGCTACTTTGATATCACATTTTTGTTCGTTCGTAAAGTTATTATAATACTATTCGCATGCGTATATAAAAGTTAAACAACACACGGAGATGCTCAAAATCGGGATAGTGTCGCCATGATTTCTGCAATGCAGCTGAAACCCTAAAGTTTACTAATGAACTAATGAAACAAAATGGTTTTAATTATTGGATTAAAAAGTCGCCAAGATTCGTGCCTACTCTATGCATGACAACAACAATATCATTTAAAAACAGTATTTATTTCAAAAATGGATAGACTTTAATATAAAAACAAAAAAACAAAATGTGATGAAAAAGACAGCGATAGATTATAGTGGCGACATTATGAACTTGGGAAGGACCTGATAGATAAAAAATTTTAAAGAAGGAAATTTCTCAGAATTGTCGTGATGGTAGCAAAAGTATAAAACCAATTAATATGTATAAACTAACAGTAGCAGCAGACAGTAATTCGAATAATATCATGAGACTAAACCAACAGCAATTCAGAACAAAACTAAAGTTGAAATGATCTTCTCATTTTCTGTTTCAATAAATAATGGAGATAACCTGAGTTTGATATGTCCTTATCTTAATAATAAAAAGCTCTGGCTCATTTTATCTATGTCAAAATATAATGATAATGATAAATATATTTTTTTTAAATTTCCTTTTTCAAAATTAATTTCCTTTTTCCTTTTATCCCCACTTATTTGTAAATACTCATTTTGTTGCGAAACGCATTTGGAGTTTGAAATGAAAACAAACGAAAAAATAATAATTCATTAATATTATATATGCATCTCTAATTAACTCTTATATATATATATATATATAATATGATATCACATTTGGTGTAATATACTCTCACGCATATATAAAAGTTGCGTACGCAAGATGGAGATGCTCAAAATCAAAATAGTGTCGCCATGATTGCTGCAATGCAGCTGAAACCCTAAATTTTACTAATGAACTAATGAGCCAAATTGTTTTCATTATTGGATTAAAAAATGATGTAGCCGAAGCTTTAAAAAGATAAAATAATAATTTGTTGATTCTAAGAATATTCGAAAAAACTATGATAATTTCGAGATTATTCATTTAGTTTGAGAATATTCGAATAAATCAAGCTGTCTTAAATAAATTCATTAAGATCTCTCTAGATCTACCGAAAACAAGGAACAAATAGACAAAAGCTCAATTTCATTAATCAATCAACAACTGAATACAACTTAAGTCTAAACCATATATTTATAATAAATCCAAAACATTAGAAAAATTCTAAAACAATAAAAAAAATTATCTAAATAATAAAACAAATAATGAAAATATTTAGAATCCAAATATCTTTCTGGATCAAAAAGTCGCCAAGATTCATACTCACTCTATCCATGACAACAACAATATCATTTTTAAACAAAAGCTATTTCAAACTAAAGAAAAAAAGAAGGAATTATTAATAATGAGTTACAGAGACGATGGCCT